ACGGTGCTCTTGGGAGGTGTCACTCCTCCCACCGCATTTAAGTCCACGGTCCTCGTCCCACGAAGAAATGCGGGCGTCCTCGTCCCAAGAAGAAATGCGGGCGTCCGCGTCGGCAACTCCTAGGCTGCACTTGAGGACCAGTCCGTTCATGGGTGTCTGCGGTCGAGGGCGACTGTCTGTTCCTTGGGTGAGGAAAGGGGCTTTGGAACGGCTGGCGAATCACTCCAGGGTTGCGTTGAGCCGGTTGGCGTGTCACTCGAGGGGAGGCTAGGCAGTTCCGGCTCCACCATCATGAATCTCAGCCCACAATTACGTTCCCCTATCTTGTTTGGCCTCTCTTTTGGTCCATATCGCATCGGTTCAATGGCGCTGTAGTTATCACAAGCGTCAGCTCAACATCCTAAGCTTCTTTTGATTCCCTTTGCTACCGTGGTACTCAGTTTTAAACCTCTTCTACTACTCCAGCCTCTCAGTCCCCAAATGCCCATAGGCACCAAACCAAGGCCTCTCTTCTTTTGAGGATCGGCTGCCACCGATTAATTTTCTCATTGGTATAAATAACTGCCTTATGTGCTGGCATCCGTTTGACACATTATCTGCATGCTTGGTCGTTCTACGGAAATTGCAATCTCAGGTCCCTTGTTGAGGTTTGCCTCTCGGCTCCATTCTCATGCTTCTCAGCGCACAATTACGTCCCCTCTCGTGTTTTGCCTCTCTTCTGGTCTATATCGCAACAGTCCAATGGCGGTATAGTTATCACTAGTATCAGCGCAACATCCCAGTTCTCTTTTGGTTACCATTACTTCTGTGCGTCTCATTCCAAAACATTTTGGCCAAGTCAGTCCTCTGAGGCTCCAAATGTCCCTAGGTCTCAAGCCAAGGCCTCTCTTATTTTGAGCACCGGCTGCCATCGTCTCAAGTTCTCATTGGTATAAGTTACAACCTTATGATACTCTTCTTGGTCTGAATCATTATCTCTATGCTTAGCAACGCTCACCGAAATCCGAATTTCTGGTCTCTGATTGACTTTTGCCTCTCGGCTCTACTATCGTGCATCTCAGCTCACATTAACGTCTTCCTCTCTTATTTGGCGTCTCTCTTCGCTCATATCGCAACTATTCATTGGCGGTATAGGTACCATTAGCCTCAGCTCATCGGTCATTCCATTGATTTCAGCTAGCACAACTTTACCATAAATTTTATATTTATACAATAACATAGTCCTGTTCAATTCTGTTGGCAGTTTGCTCGGTCCGTTTTTCTTCTCACCCTTGTTCTACAGGATAACATTACCTGCACCGAACACCGCTGAAGACGTACCTGCGACGCTTCCATGGACACGGACTCAATAAAGAACAAAGAAAAACCCTCACGTCATAATCATGGCACACTAAAGAACCTAGGAAACTGATCAATTCAATACAAGTCACCTGAGTCGTCCGATTTCGACAGCCCCAACCACTTGAAATGGACTCCGAAGGCGACTACACCGCCATGGGAAACAAATTGGCGTTGCGTGACTGCGAATATCCGCGAGGATAATCGGTCAGATACCATCTTGCCAATGTATATCAACAGCCGGCAGTGTTCCAGGACGTGTTGGGTCTTCGTCTGGCAAGCGTTTTCCCTACAAAAAGCCACAAATGTCTGTTTAACAACACTGCGACGTGGCGGATGTGACTTGCCACTCAATAAAGTCACCGCCCCTAACACATTGGCAAGTTGATCGACACCACATTTACAAGTTCTGTGCATATATTGGCTCTCGCACGAACACGCCTACATATCTGACTAGTGACATACCACTATTCTTAAGTATTTTCCACCCGTTTCCTCATACTTCACTCACTGACCTACATTGCTTACGGGACCTCATCGGACTAGTTCCTCATCAACATACCATATAAGTGATCTGATCACTATTTTTACCTCTCGCAATCTGTGTTCATGGACTACATACAACCTTTGGGCTCTATGGGCCCACACTACTGTCTCCAACTTTACTACTCCCACTGTTGGTGCTGCTTATTCTGCTATCATGTACAATAATGCAATATGCTGATCATGCCCAAAAAGGCGTGTCTCGCTTTGTCGAGCATAAAATATTTATTTATTTATTTATTTATAACTCAGAGGAGGTGGGCAAGGGTCGGGGAAGTGGCTTGGCGCCGGAGAGGGAACATGGCATGCATGATAAAAGCAAATACGCTTTTTAGGTTTTCAAAATGTTTTGGGATTGTCGTCGATTTTGTAAAACGTTTGTGGGTGAGACGCAGGGTAACCACTAAAGACGAAAATGGCGTGTTAATGGTAATAGCAAACTTTACAAAATCTGAAAAACGGACCGGACGTTTAACCTGTCTACCGCGTCGGTCGGTTGACTGGGGTTGCGGCAGGATAGGTTGCGGGTCAAGGGGTACGGAGGGTTCCGGGCTATCCAGTGCTCGGGAAGTCACCACAGGTGCAGGTGCTTGTGCGAGAGCATCAGGATGGACTGCAAGTGGCTCGTCAAATAAAGCGACTTTGAGGCAGTCGATGGACACCGTTGTTCGGTGACCATTCCGGTCTAAAGTAAAATGTTTCGGAGTCCGCTGCAGAACTTTGAAAAGGCCAGTGTAGGGAGGCTGGAGAGGGCGCCGCACTGTGTCGGTGCGGAGGAAGACGTGACTGTTGGTAGAGAGTCCGCTGTGCATGTGCACATCTCTAGTCTCTTCACGAGGCGGGGTCGGGCGTAGTGAACGCATGCGTTGAGCTAGGGAGGACGCAAAGTTAGGAGGAGGCATAACCGACGATGCGGGAGGTGAATCAAATTCTCCTGGTAACATGAGCGTCGTGCCGTAAGCCAGCTCTGCTGGTGCACACTGCAAGTCAGCGTTGATGCTGCTGCGAATGCCAAACGAGAGAAATTTTTCGCTCCAGCTAGGGTCGGAGGAGGCGCAGAGCGATGCTTTAAGCTGTCTATGGAAGCGTTCAACTAACCCGTTGGCTGCTGGGTGATACGCTGTGGTATGAATGCGGCGACAGCCTAAAAGTTGCAGAACGTATCGAATTGTGAAGATTCGAAAGGCGTTCCTCGGTCAGTTGTGATGGTGGATGGGCATCCGTAGTGCGAGACCCACCGGTCCAAGAAGGCCCGGATAACAGTCTCAGCTGTGCAGTCTGTTACGGGAATGGCTTCTGGCCATCTGGTGAAGCGGTCGACACATGTAAGAATGTATACGAATCCGCGTGACGGAGGCAATGGACCTACCAGGTCTAAGTGTACATGCGAGAACCGAGAGTCCGGGGCAGGAAATGAACCAAGAGGACTGCGGGTGTGACGATGTACTTTAGAGCGCTGGCATTGAAGGCAGGCGCGAGCCCAGGTACGAACATCTTTGTTTACGCGTGGCCAAACGAAACGTTCGGTGACCAGTTTCAAAGATGCACGGATACCGGGATGTGATAGTGAGTGCAGTGCGTCAAAGACTGTGCGTCTGAAGGAGACGGGCACGAGAGGTCTAGGACAACCTGTGGAAGTGTCACAGAGAATGGTTCCTTCCGTGGTTTGGAGAGGAACAGGTTGCACATGCAGCGAAGTGGACTGCAGCGTACATGTGTGTCTTCGTCTTGAGCCTGAGCCGATGCCATGGCGGCAAGGTCGACGGTAGGCAAAGACTGGAGAGTGAGGTTGACGCGTGAGAGAGCGTCGGCGACGGGATTGTCGACACCTGAGACATGACGTATGTCAGCAGTGAACTGCGTGACAAAGTCTAGGTGTCTTGTTTCCCGTGGTGAGTATTTGTCGCAAGCAGAGTTGAAGGCAAAGATAAGGGGCTTGTGGTCAGTGTAGACCGTGAAAGCGCGGCCTTCGAGTGTGTGCCGGAAGTGACGTATCGCTAGGTAAATGGCGAGCAGTTCTCTGCCAAACGTGCTGTAGCGGGATTCCGCTGGCTGCAGGCGCTTGGAGAAGAACCCAAGGGGTTGCCATTGCCCACCAACGTGTTGTTGGAGGACGGCTCCTACCGCGACGTCTGAGGCATCAGTCGTAATAGAAAGAGGTGCAGTCGATTCGGAATGAGCGAGGAGGGCTATGTTGGAGATAGCATCCTTGAGCTCGGCGAAGGCTGCCTGTGCTGTGTCAGGGAAAGCGAACTTACGTTCATTTCCTCTGAGTAGGTCAGTCAGTGGCTGCATGAGCTGAGCGCAGCGCGGAATGAAGCGTCGATAGTAGTTGACCAAACCACAAAATCGACGGAGGTGCTTGAACGAAGTCGGAGCTGGGAAGTCCTTGATTGCCTGGATCTTATCAGGAAGGACTTCGATACCAGACGATGAAACGAGGTGGCCTAGGAATTCTACCGTTGATTTGCCGAGTTCGCACTTAGTCGGGTTGACTGTGACACCGTGTTGGGTCAAGCGCTGGAAGAGAGTTCGAAGATGCTCGAGGTGCTCTTGTTCCGATGAACTGGCTACTAAAATATCATCGAGGTAGGAATAGGCGAAGTCTAGGCCACGAGTGACATCGTGGATGAAGCGTTGGAAGGTTTGTGCGGCGTTGCACAGTCCAAATGGCATTCTTAAAAATTCAAACAAACCGAAAGGAGTGATGACGGCTGTTTTAGGAATGTCATTGTCTTCCACAGGTATCTGGTGATAGGCGCGAACCAGATCGATCTTGCTGAAGATCGTCTTACCTGTGAGGCATGCGGTAAGGTCCTGCATGTGTGGGATGGGATACCTATCTGGGACGGTTAGGCGATTGAGTGCGCGGTAATCACCGCAAGGGCGCCAGTCACCAGATTTCTTGGGGACCATCTGCAGGGGCGAGGACCAAGGGCTATCGGAAGGGCGGATTATTCCAAGTTCAAGCATGCGGCTACAAACCTCCGCCCTAGCTACCGTTTAGTTTTCTCGGGCGATTAGTTCGGCAAACGGGGGACGGGCAGTAGACGACAGGTGGGCCCGGCCCCACCCCCCGACGTCGCCGCCGCCCGCCCCCGTGCCCCACGCTTCCCCCCTCAGTCACTCCCGGCGCCCGCGCCTAACGTGCCGGTAGTCTCCGCCCCGCCGGCCTGCGCCCCGCACCCCCCACCCCGCCGCCCCCCCCCCCCCCCCCAGCTGCCCCCCCGCCCCCCCCCCACACCCGCGGCCCCCCCCCGCCCCGCTGGCCCCCCCCGCCCCCCCCCACCCCCCCGCGCCCGCCCAGCCCGCCGCCCACCCCCGCCTCCCCCGGCCCGCCGCCCCCCCCCCCCCCCCCTCCCCCGCCCCGCTCGCCCCCCCCCCCCCAGCCTCCCCCCCCCCGCCTCCCCCCCCCCCCCGCCCAACCCCGCCCCCACCCCCCTCCCACGCCCGACCCGCCCCCCCCCCCCGCCGCCCCTCCACCCGCCCCCCCGCCCCCGCCCCCCTCCCCCACCCCCCGCGCCCCTCCCGGCCGCCCCCCCCCCGCCCCCACCCCCCCCCCCCCCGCCCTCCCCCCCCTCCCCTCCCTCGCCGGGCCCCACCGCGACCCCCGCCCCCCCCCCCCGCCCCCCCCCGCCCGCCCCACCCGCCTCCGCCTCGTCCGCCCCCCCCCTCCCCGCCCCGCCCGCTCCCGCCCCCCCCCCCTCCCCCCGCCCCACGCCCCGCCCGCCCCCCCCCCCGCCCGCGCCGCCGGCCCCCCCCCCGCCCGCCCCCCCGCGCCCGCGCCCCCCCCCCCTCCCGGCCCCCCACCCGCGCCCCCCCTCCGCCCCCCCCCCCGCTCGCGGGCCCCCGCCATTCGCCGTATGTGTGTGCGTGGGCTGCCTTGAAGCTTGTTCCACGGGGCAAAGCTGCGCTTTCATGGCTGAACGGGGAGCTTGGGGATACTGAGAAAAGAGGATTAGCGTGTTAGTCTGGCCGAGGGTCTGGGGAAAATTGCATTAGGAAACCGGGGATTATAGATGTTGAATCCGGCGGCGGTCGGCGGCCACGTACAACTGAGATTTTTGCTTTGCCGCGTCGGACTATCGTGTTCTGGCGTTTTCGCATCGGACCATACGGATGGTTCGGAAATGGCCTGAGGGCAAGTTCCAATGGGGGCCGATGAGTGGCCCAACAGGGGGGGGTACTGCAGTGCGGGGGGGAACAGTGAAATACCCTGCGGAAAGTGCGCCCAAGACCTAGTTCCGGGGGTAAGCGACCGATGACCGTAGGTGGCTATTGGCGTGTCATTGGCGGCACTGAGGCTTGTCGAGGACGGAGAAGAAGTAAATAAATAAATAAATATTTTATTCTCGGCTATGCGAGGCACGCCAATTGAGGTATGATCAGGTATGTACAGCTGTACAGACACTTTATGGCAAGTGTAGTGACAGTAGAAAATTGTTCATATGTCCACGCTTGGAACTGTGCAGTGGTGAAGATGCGAAACGATTTGGTTATAGTGGAATCGGGACCCATTTGTTTGGGCATAATCGCTCTGCCATATATTGCAGTCTTACCTCGATAAATAATAGATTGAGAATCCTGAATGGACCAATGGAAGATAATTGAAGAGCACGCCAAAATGCTGACGCTAATTGATCTGCCAACGTGAAGTTATGGGTTGTGACTATATTCGGTGGCGAGTCACATTCGCCCCGTTGCAATGTTAAACGGACATCTGTGGCTTTTTATAGGGAGAACACTTGCCGGGCGAAAACCCACCACGTCCTGAAAAATTGCCGCCAATTCATTGAATGGCAAGCTGTAACTGGCTGTTTCTTGTTGAACGTTTGTTTGCTCCGTTTTTCGCAGTCAACTTGCGTCCCATTTTTCTGCTGGCTGAGGCGTTAGGCGAGTGGCCATTGCGTGC